TGTTGCGCCAGGATGAAAATATGTATATATGGACTATGAAATGAGTAAAACAACATGACATAACATAACATAATAAATAACATAAATAATTGCGGCCAATGCCGCGACGCAGCCTGTAATTAACTATTTGATATTTTTTAATTAAAATATTTTGATATGAAATTATCAAACTAATAAATAAATTATTCCCGTTTCGTCTATTCGTGTAGACGAGAAGAAGATTTATTATAAATTGAATACTCGTTGGTAGATAACAATACTAATTGATTTAATATTTACAAGGTGGCAAAAACTTCATCAACATAATTTATTAACTTAAACGACGTTAAAAATTGTCGATAAAATAGGAAACGTTAATTATCTACATCTGCCACAATTATAATACGGTAGCGCCATCGCAAATCGTATCTATGCCGCGTGGCTAAGCAACAGTCTCAATACATATGTATAGTATTCATATTCCTGTTCTGTGATCTGACGTTGTTATGGCAACCTATAATTTGTTTATATCGGAACACGGTAGTAGGTGTTGGACGAAGATATAATTGTTAAAGGAAATACAACGTTTATAATAAAATGGATTTGCCTGATATATCTGCATTAAATGTACTGGATCCTGATGATCGATTAATGAACAAATTTCAAAAAACCCTTTATACACATTTATCGAATGTAAATAACAGACTCTCAGAAGAAATTTTTGAACTAGTAAGTAAAATGTGTATTACATAAAATTCATCTAATGATATGCACCATATATTTATTATTTTTAAAATTAAATTTTTTGTTTAATTAAAAATGGTTTGATGGAACCTTGCTTGCTTAATGGAACCTCTTGTATCGAATCATATATTTTATGCATATAATACAATATAATCAATTAAATTTATCATAATTCTGTTAATATAATATAGGATTATTGTAATATTATTTCCCATATTATGTACGTATTACTAATTATGATTTAACTAATTTAACATCATTAATTTATATATCTTAGGAAACGTTGATCAAACAAGTTGAGAAAGAGTTAGAATCGGAAGGTGTTGATCTTTATCAGACACAACAACAAGTTGAACAACAACATTTAATTATTCGTCAATATTTTGATGCTTTGTCTAAGATAACATTGTTAAAAGAAAAGAAAGATCACAACATAGAAGAAGCTAAAGGAGTTTTAAAAAAGAATCATTGTAAATTAGAAGATGAAAGAAATAAGCAAAAAAAGCTTTCTCAAGAGTTGAAAAATTTGTTGACTTTCTATAACTATTTGTCAAAGTGGGAAAATGACCTGAATGATCACTTGAAAATATCGAAACAGATTTCGTCGCAAGATGCAAATAAAAGGAAAATGTTAATCAACAAAAAGTATCAACGAGATTTTATTTTATATCGATTGAAAGAAGAAATCTGGAAAGTTGAGGACGAAATAGCATATTTGGATGAACAATTACA